GAGTCGCAACCTAAATGCCCGGGGACATAAATGCAAGGACTGGACTCCAGGGCCCACGGAGACCTGGAGAGGCCAGGGTCGGGTGAGTGGGGCTGGTATAAGTCCTCAGCCCGCATGACCAGTTCCAGCCGCCAGAGCTTCAGATTTTTCAAGAGGAACTGGAAATCCAGATTTTTAGATGAAGTATCTCAATGTATTATTGTTAGTAGCTAATCCCCATTTCAAAAACTCCTGGTCAGGACACACAAATCTCTTTCAAGAGCCTCCTAAATACCACCTCTAATGTAAAGTCTGGTTTGGAGTCCTTGTGGCTGTGACAGCTTTCGGGGCTGTGAGCATCCCTGTACCCCTTTCCTGACATTTTAGATGAAGGGACTGAGACTCATGAAGGGAAGTGACCATCTGCCCAAGGCCCCACAGTTAATGGCAGCTTCGAGTCCAGAGCATGAGGGGGGTGGAGCTAGGATTGGCGGGTTGGGGTCTCACCATCAGTGGTGGGGTCTGGGCTGCGGTTGACAGTGCCTTGATGGGGTCGGGGAGACTAGTGCCAGGTGCTGGACTAGTCCAGAGAAATCCCCTGCCTTGGAGGATTCCAGGAAAACGCTCTGTCCTCCTCCCCTTCTGTGTTTGTGGTCAGAGTCATGCCTCAAAGCCTTTGGAGACCCAGCTCAGCTCCTGACTTACGGAGAGCCCCAGTACACCCGCACCCCCTCCTGCCCAGCCTGCAGCCAAGGCCTTTGGCTGGGCCAGCTCTAGTCATTGGGGGCCTGAAGGCTTGTCTTGGAAGGCTGGGCCACACCAGCTGGGGGGTGGCGTAGTCTATGGAGGACTTTATTGCCTCCGGAAGGCAGGATGGCCCCTGTGTCCAGTCGTTATCAGGGGCTAAGCACGGTCTGGCTGGGACAGTCACCTTCTAGACTCCCCCTCTCAGCCCCTCAGCCTCCGCAAGGCCCTGTCTCCTCAGGGCCCCTTTCTAGGACAATTGCAGCTCACCACTCCATGTCTCTGTGTATGTGGATATCAAGTATGGCTGTGAACCCCTGCTCTTGGACCAGAGCTGCCCCTTGGATGTGTTTAATTTGGCCTTTATGGGTGTTTTAAAAACTTTGAAGCCATCGCGAACATTGAAAAATCAGGTGGTTTCACACTGAAATGGGGTTTCCCAGCTTGCCTTGAACAGGAATTCAGCTAGGGCTGAGTGGCAGCTGCCTCCCACTCACTTCCAGCCAAGGCTTGGGCTCGCCAGTCACCCCAGTCCCCACCACTCCCTGTTGTCTCTCACCAGGCTCTTCACTCGCTCGAGTTTCCTGCCTGGCCCCAGAAGCATTTGAATTTGCAAGCAGTGCTGTAAGGCTTCTGGTCACACTGTCCCTATGCTTCTTCTCTTGGGCTGTGTGTCCTTTGAGGCCCTCAGGAGTACCCACAGATGCTGGGTGGGGGGGATCCAAGAGCCTCCAGCCTTTCCCTAAAGAACAGGACTTCCCGATGACCTCTTACCTCTCTCGCTTCTGCGGCCAGTTCTCCTAGATGAAGAGACCCCATCTGCTTAGATTGTCCACCTCTGCCCCAATCCTGTGCCCTGAGCTCATACAGGTCCCCCTTTACCTAGATGCTGAAGGGAAGCTTCCAGGAGACCCCTCCCCAGTTCTCCAACCTTTCCCTGAATAGCAGCCTCTGTGAGGGAAGGGAACTAGGGAGTGTGGGGCAGGCTTGATCCAAGGGTGCCCAGCCTGGTGACAGGGATAGATCCTAGGGGTCTGCACTGCTTTGGACTGGAGCAGTGCCAGGATGTCTGGGTTGGTGAGAAGACACGTGAAGGAAAGATGGGCTAGAAGGGAGGACCAGAGGTGGAGGCTTGAAGCTGCTTTTCCCAACAAGCACACCCTTGGTACAGAAGTGCTGATTGCAGGAATATGGGGAGAGCTGGTGGTGTCATCAGGAAGCTAAAGCCCCACATGCGTTCCAACTGGTACCACCACTGGCATCTTCTGGGACCTGAGCTGAGGGGTGGGGGGCAGATCTGGGCTCTAGACCTTCTGTGATTTGGGGCTTGAGGCAGACCCCTGGACTCGGGTCAGGGTCAGAGCCCTTCCCAATGGCAGGTGCAGCTGCCAGCCCTCCCCTGTGCTATGGCAGCAGGAGAGGTGCCTGTGCCAGCTCTCACCACCTCTGGCCCCCTGCCAGGCCTGGGCTCACGTCTGCATTCCAGACCCAGACCCATCTCTCGGCTGTCTTCATGAGGCCCGGGGTCAGACCTGTGCCTGTTCTCGGTCAGCCCTTGGGGCCGGGTGCCATGTTCCCATTTCCTGCTTGCCCGTGCCTGGCAGAGCTGCCCAGATGGCTCTGCCTGAGGCATGGAGGACTGGCCTGACCTGTTGGGAGAGCCGGCCCTGCCCTCCATGACTTCCTGCCCCCAGCCCCCAGCGCCTGAGTCAGTGGGCTGGCTGGGGCTGATGGGGTGGGGATGAGGGGAGGCCAGGCCAGGCCTCTTTAGGGGGTTGGTTTCGGGCACAGGTGAGCCATCAGTGCTATGGTGGAACCTACAGGCCTGCTTCCCTGTTCTCATCAGGGCAGCAGAGGGGCCACAGGAGCTCCCGCACAGCCCACTTGTTCTCAGCCTCTGTCCTGAGCCACCTGTCACCTCTTGTTCCCATTCCCCCCAGCCCCTTCCCACACAGCAGCCAGCGTGATCCCTGCTCAGCACCAATCTGGTTCTGTTCCCCCCACCCCCTTTTTTAATGCACCATCAGCTTTTTGTTCCTTGTCCTCTGGAGGCAGAGTTCCCCTCCTGATGTACCATGCCCCATTCTCTCCGGCCTCTACCCACCCCACCCTGAACCTCAGCCTGTCACCCTCACTGCTCAGGCCACTGGGCATTTTGTCCTTCCCATTTCTTAAATTTCCCATGTAGCCACCTGCCACAGGACCTTTGCACATGCTGCTTTCCCTGTCTGGAGCTCTCTTCCTGGGACAATTTGATTTCTACATAACCTTGGGATCATAGGGAACACCCTGGCCATGGCCAAGTTCCCCTGCTGCACATTCTCAGAGAACTTCTCCTTCCTTCCCACTGGGCTGTGAGCTCCTTGAAGGCAAGGAGGGGGTCTCTTGCACTTGCCTCTGGTCACACTTGCAGGCCAAGCCAAGGGCCTGGCACAAACTGTCTCATCAAAAGAATAAATAATTATCAGGTGGTCGCATACCATCTGTCCCCAGCCCGCCCACCCCCTCCTCTGCGGCAGTCAGTGGTCAGGCCAGGTGAGGAAGGACAGCACTGAGCCTGGCTCACCCTGCTGGGCCGAGGTAATTAGGGGCCTGTGTTACTCACAGGTGGCCAGCCCAGGGCACTCCAGGAAATTGTGGAGACGCCGGAGCCCCACCCAGCTTCACAGCCCACTCTGTGCCTCCTGGCTGGGTGGGGAGGGGAGGTGGGCAGGAAGGCTTGGTAGGCAGCTGGCTGGGAGGGATGTTTTCTGTGTAGGAGAGGAGGAGATTCTGGGCCCTTGTCATCTGGGTGAGGGGTAGGGGCAGCTGCCACAGCTGGATGACCTCTGACTGCCGGGACCTTAGTGGGGATAAGGTTCTGTTGAGGATGAGTGCCAGTGGCGGGGTGGGGGGTCCAGGCTTGCGGGTTTCCAGGGAGAAAAAAATCAAGAAACAGAAGGCACCTGTCAGAGTTCTGCCCCCCGCCCCCCCCC